TACCCATTCAAGCCATCTCCAGCCATTATAAAGAAAACTGGTTTCTTTGTTTATCAAGAGTTTTATTGTGTACTGGAGAAGTTAAGTTTCATAAAGTGACAGAAATGTGTAATACAAGATTCTGAACAAAAACCTCTTTTTCCTGTTAGGTTCTAACACTGTAAAATTCAAATTAGATGAGGAAGATTACCAGATTGGAAGTTGAAAAGCACAGTTCTGAAGAAGATGCGTGGATCATATTTAAAGATAAGGTATGTCTAGTTATTTTTTAAGTGTTTTATGTAATAGTACTCTTTGAATTTTGAGTCAATATATATTCTATAGTGATATTTTACATGTTAACTTGTAAATTATTCAGCAAATACTCTTATGATGTGTATAAACAGTGTACTTTGCAAAAATTTATGAATAAGTTTTAGCATTTACTGTAATATCCCTACAATGCATTTGTTAATTCAACATTAATTTAGTAAATAGTGACTTGAAGAGTTTGTTAATAATTCTTTATCATCACACTGTAAAAAGATAGATTAATCTAAATTCAAGGTATAGATAAAAGAAAAATACTGTGTGAAAGTACCTGTTAAAACTTCTCTTAAGTTAAAAGTAAACTTATTGTTTTTGTTGATAGAAGTATAGCACTAGTTTATAAAGTTTTATATTTAATTAAGTAAATGTAAATTTACCTACTAACAGTTTTGAAGACAGAAGATAATAAAGTTTATCCAACATAAGAGCTTAACAAAAATTTAAGAAAAAAACAAAATGATAGAAGGCTATTTAAGCTATTTTTTGTTATTATGTGTTTTATCGATGTACACATCCAACAAACACCTGTAAAGTTTTAGACTGTAAAACAGATTGCAATATACATCATCATCAGGGAAACCAAACCATTCCAAAAATTTATAGCTCAAACAATTAAAAAAAATTTTTAGAACAAGTCTACATCTGGATTTTTCAAACTTCAATCTGTTAATCATGACTTTCACATTTATTTACAATTTCTTCATCAGATCATACATAGGATGGCTGTCCAAAACTATCCCACTTTTTATACACTCCAAAAAAAAAGCAAGCTCAACATTTTTAGTCTTTCTTTGAAGCTTAAATTTATTAAACCAGATATCATATAGTAGCCTTTCTCTGCAATTTTTTACAACATTTTTTGTGGTAAGCCTGTTACCTCTCTACAGTGACTAATGTTTGACAGTGATGTTGTAAGCATAGTAACATTCTGATACTTTCACACATTTGCAGTCTTCCTTGAGAGAATTGAGTAGTTTATTACAGAGAATTATTAATTTTTACTTGATGATGGTTTTCAAAAATGTATGTGCCCTATATGTAAAAAGAAAATGCCTTGAAGTTAGTCTTAAGTTGCCATTTGATCATGATCAGCAAAAGTGCTTTTATTAATTTTTTTGTCATATAGGTTTATGATGTAACACCTTACATCAGTCAACACCCTGGAGGGCTAGCATTACTTAAGTATGCAGGACAAGATGCTACCAAAGCCATCTTAGAGCAACCAGCTCATAAAGTTGTTCCAAACTTTCTTCTTAGATTGCTAGAAAAATATCTTATTGGCAAATTGAGCAATTTGTCTTTAGATACTAACACTTGAATTCAGTGAATGATAAACAGATGTGTGCACTGCCTTTCAAAGCATCTAATGATAAACAGATGTGTGCACTGCCTTTCAAAGCATCTAATGATAAACAGATGTGTGCATTGCCTTTCATTCTTTCACCTAGTAATAAATCAAATTTATATTTAAGTGCTAGTGTGATTTTAGGAAATTTCTTGGGAATGTGTTAAAAAAATCTTATCAAGTAAATTGTGGTTAACTACTGACTTAGTAATAAATGTAAGAACTTGGAACTGTGATGGTGAATCTTAAGATTTAAAAAAAAAGGAAAGAAAATTTCTGTTATGTACAAAATTCTTCATAGTCACAGTTATTGTTGTTCTACTGAATAAACATATTCTTTCAGTAAAGTTAAACCAAAAGTATTTGGAAGTATAGTTTGTGAAATGATTCTGTGTGTTGGACCAAAAGGATGTGGAAAGACACTTCTTCTGAAGAGGTTGCAGTTGGAGAGTTTTCCAAAAAATGAAATCACCTCCGAAGAAGTCATTCCTACCACTGTCCCTACAGTTGGAATTAATATAACTACAATAAAACTATCAAGGAAAGTTGATACTACAATTCATGAGCTTGGTGGAGCAATGGCACCTATTTGGCCTTGCCACTTCTCACAGTGTCGAGGGTTGATGTTCGTAATAGATACAAGCAATCTCATGCAGATAAGTGCTGCCTGCATTCAGTTATATGAGATAGTTACCCATGAATCATTGCAAACTGCTCAGATTTTAATTATTTTAAATAAAATTGATGTGCCAGTCACAACTAGTATTATAGAAGTTAAGGACGTTCTACGTTTAGAACAACTGAAGCAGCATGCTAAACAGAGTATAGAGACTGTTGAAGTGAGTGCATTTTCTGGAGATGGTGTTGAAAATATCAGGAAGTGGTTGCTTCAATTTCAATAGCAAAACATAACGTGTTTGACGGCCCATCTTTTAAAATAAAGAACATGTTTAACAATCAGGTATAATTGAAGACAATATCTTTTGGTAGAGATATGAAACTCTTAATAATTTTTCTGCGTTATTAGGTATATTTATTAGTACCATTTACAATGCATATAACTTACAAGAGACGTAAATACATTGAAAGGAGAAAGGGAAGTTAAAATTATTAATAAGCAATTTAATGTGATAACATTTGGAAGTGTAATGTACTAGTTACTCAATCATTTGTTTCTCTTGTTCTTCATTCTTTGTTATAATAGTGTATTATAAAAATGAGATGATATTATATTTTTTAAAGAAATTTGGTAAACTTAAAACTATAAAATGTTTTCTAGATTCTATAGTAGCTATACGTGTACAACTTTTAAAAATGTATCATCGTGTTTGTGTGACACACAAGTTTCACTATAGACTTTTAAAAATGTGTCATCGTGTTTGTGTGACACACAAGTTTCACTATAGACTTTAAAAATGTATCATCGTGTATGTGTGACACACAAGTTTCACTATAGACTTTTAAAAATGTGTCATCGTGTATGTGTGACACACAAGTTTCACTATAGACTTTTAAAAATGTGTCATCGTGTATGTGTGACACACAAGTTTCACTATAGACTTTTAAAAATGTATCATCGTGTTTGTGTGACACACAAGTTTCACTATAGACTTACCAAACATTTTTTTATTTCTAACTAAAAACACTCAACGTTTGTTATCATTGTAATATTACTGACAGTGTGTTGTTTGTTAAGGATAAAATATTTTAGTTCTAGGTATTCACATAACTTGTTGAAGGAAGTTTTCCTGTATTTTTCTGTATGAATAATATCTCTATTTTTAATAGAAGTTTTTAGCCATGTAAAGATTTCTTGATACTATGAAAATCAGCAACGTAAATCCTCTCAAATGCAATATATGTAAACTTTTGACATTAGAGTACTCTAGCATTTACCATATCTGTAGAAAACTTGTCAACAGGAATCAAGTTCTTGTAGCTTTTCTTTCCCTTTCTTTTAAACCAATTGTATTTCAGTATTTCTGATGAGTTACTTACATACTTCTGTATTGAAAGACAATAATCATTACACACGGTGTTAATATATATAATACTATACATCAGATAGGATAATATCATATAATTGATTCCAAGATAGGTTGTTAATGTATACCATACAGGATGACAACATATATAATACTATACATCAGACAGGATGATATTATATATAATATTATACCCCAGATAGGATGATATCATATAATTGATTCCAAGATAGGTTGTTAACATATACCATACAGGATGACAACATATATAATACTATACATAACATGATATTCTATATAATATTATACCCCAGATAGGATGATATTATATACCATATAGGATGACAACATATATATAATACTATACATCAGATAAGATAATATCCTATATACCATATAGGATGGTAACGTATATAATACTATACATCAGATAAGATAATATCCTATATACCATATAGGATGATAACATATATAATACTATATTCCAGATAGTTTGTTAACGTGTACTGTGCACAAGTTAGGATGATAATACATTTTTAATATTATACATCAGATATTATTATATCATGTTAACACATCATTTGGTATATATATGATACATGCTAAATGATGTGTTAACATTCTGTATACTAAACAGTGTAATAACATATATATTATACATCAGATAATGTGCTAACATTTTAATAGGATATGCCAGATAGAATGATGATACAACAGATAACATAATAACATTTATAATACTATACCCCAGATAGGGTGATCATATATATGTATATATATAATACTATAGGATGGTAATGTCCACCAGATGACATATATCATCATCCTATCTTATTATGTATCAACATGCTACTTAGTGTATAGTATCATACAGGTATAACCGTATCATCCTATCTAATATGTATGATACTATACACTAAGTAGCATGTTGATACATACAGTTATATCAGATAGGATGATAATATGTATGATAATGTCTTTGTGAGTGATCCATACTCCTAAGTATGGGCAATGAATAATATATAGAAATATTATTTTATTACAAATTACAGCTTTTACCCTAAGGAAACATATTTTAAAAATAGGTATGACATTTTGATCACTGTTACAATCATTCTCAAGTACCTAAGTTTTTTTAGAATGATCCAACCATCTTACCCATTTTAAAGGTATTCTTCCTTATTGTAAAAGCTGTAACGTGTAATAAAATAGTATTTATAATCAGTAAGTAAACTCAAAATGAAACTATTAATGTATAGAAATATTTTTTGGAATATTGAAATTGTGAGTTGCTTACAGAATAAAATGTAAAAAGTGAAGCTTTTTGTTTTGTCACATGTATTTACCTGAAATAGATTTAAAAAACTTCTGTTAGTTGCATTTGTAAGTTTATTGTATCTCAGAAATTACATAGTCACAGTAGTTCAAAAAACAAAAACACTTGATCACTGACCAAATAAGTCAAAGAAACTCATTTTTCTGATTATAAATGTACAGTCTTTAATAAACAACTGGGATCATAAAAACAGTTTAGACAAATGGATTAAAGACCAGTTTCGTGTCAATCCAATGTAAACAGGAAACTTGAAAGAAAAATCTCATGTACATTCTGAAGGTCAAACAGTGTTTTTCACTTTATAGAAGTGTTCAAGAACTTTCCTTATTTGTCTTCAGAAGTGCCATTATTTTGATCCAAGTGAGAGCAGATGGTGTAACTTATGACAATTCACTGCTAATATTTAGTTGTTGGGTGTTGCTTTTAAGTTTCATCAATTGTTAACATGTGAAAGAAGTAAGTGATACATGTAAGGCAGCTCTAGCATTCAGGGCTGTGCATATTTATGGTAATATTTGACTGGCTCTCAAGATCTTGTTTCCACTGATATGTTCGGTACTGGTATTTCTGGAACGTTTTAAACACATTGATAGATTATTTCAGTTGTGCTTCAACTCTGTGGTTTATCACGTAAAACATAATCAAATAACATTTTGCAAGATATATGACCTTTAGTGTAAAAGTTCAAGTTCACAAAGTCCCTCTCCCCCATGTTTTACTCATTTGAAACAAACTGAATGAAAATTCATCTCATAAACTGAGTGCTATCCCACTTTTCCTAGAATAGAACCATGTTTTAGATATATTTTAAAGAAAAGGTTATCCACTTACAGAAGCCTAACATTGAACTTATCATATATTCACTTTATACTTGCACCTTATACAGACCTCAAAGTTTGGAGCAAATTAATCTAGACAAGTTTACTTTTAGTGTAAATAGAGAAGTATTATGGTGTATTGTGAACAGTAACTGATACACTTATACTGCAACAAAAGAGGTTTTAACAATGTCTGGAGTTTGTAAAAAATACATGGACTTTTCTCTATGTTTAAATACTCTTAATTTTGAGCTTTCAGTCCTCTTAATGGAGCTTTCATTTGGCAACAGTATACTAAATAATACCTGGATCAAATGTAAAGCCTTCACCAACTCACCTGAGACTGTATCAGAAGAAAGCCTACAAACTTAATACAAGCTGCAGGTGTTCTACAAAATGCAAACAGATAACATGACTACATAGACTTTTACCTTCCTCCCTTGACTCAGCTGTAACTAGGAAGTGACAAAGCTAAAATTCAGGGTTTGAGCAGTGCAGATAGCCGATTGTGTACAAAACGAATACAAAAGTATGTAAACTTATACTAGGTAAATGAAAAGTTAGACATTAACTTCTGGAAAATTTGACATGTGTATAAAACGAGTTCAGCTGGCCTTAACAACATGAAATGAAAGGTACCACAGTTATAAATAGTGCTTATGAAAAAGGAAAGTTTGATTGTAACAAAAATCCCCAAATCCCAATCTGATGATAGTTGTAAGATTTTTTTTATGCAGTGTGAACTAAGCCTAATAAAAGTATTAAACAAAGTATGTTTTAGCATAAAGCTACACAATAAGCTAACTGCACTCTGTCCACCACAGGGAACCAAATCCTGGATTTTGGAATTATAAGTTTGTAAACTTACCACTGATCCACTAGGGGATTAAATGGTGTCAAATTAGTTGGTAATAGTTGTTAGCGTGCCCAGAATATGACTTCGAGGATTCATGATTCACAGCTCGTTGTCTCAAAAATGCAATCCGCACCTTAGGATCCTTGGTGCGCTATAAGAATAATGGTCAAGTTGCACTGTTCCATCTGACAGGAGTAGCTAAGAGTTAGTGGTGGGTGTAGAGTGAGAAAGTACAGTTCTCCATTATAAGAAAAATCAAGATATTCAGAAATGTTTGTGTGAAAAGTCATCATCACTTATGTTGTCCTTTTCACCATTCATTCTAGATTTTAAACTTTTCTCTCAATTTTGCTTGGAGGAAGAAAGGCATCAACTTATTATATATTAGGGAGATGTATTATTAAAACTGTAAAGCTCTTGAAGAAACATTGTGTTTCACACGGTGTTCAAACTTCTCTTTATTTCTCCAAAAGGGGGCTGAAGGGGTAATCTGTTTTAACCACTCGCACTACTATACAGAGTGTGTTGTCTGTCAGTCAGTCGACACTAAAATTTGGCCACATAAGGGACCTTTTAATGTTGCAATTTGTACTGTCGTGACGTCAGTAAGACGTGCGTATGCCATGAATCACGAGAAGAATTATGCGCTCTGTAGGCTACAACACAGCATGACGTATGAACTTCAAAAGCAAGAAATAAAAATATTTATTACTCTTAATTTTACGTTTATTTACTCTTGAAACAGAACACTGCGTTATTCATAGGAAGCCGCGTTACTTGTGTTTAGTTGTTTGTTTATCGAATTTAGCGCAAAGCTGTCTGCACTATGTGTCCCTAATTTAGAAGTGATAGACTAGAAGGAAGGCAGTTAGTCAACAACTTTCATCCAGACACTTGCCTTCCCTGGAAAATGAGAAACATTATTATTTCTGTATTCATTCAGCATATGTATATGATTTTTTTATTCAATTCATAATTTCACACTATTTGCCCCCCCCCCCCGAAAATTTGCCCCTCCTTGAAAAAATTTCTGTGGACGCCCATGTACCTACCAACTGTTGGGCTACTCTTTATCAATGAATAGTGTGAATGATATCACATTATAATGCTCCACGGCTGAAAGGACGAGCATCTTCGTTGATGAGATTCAAACCTGTGACCCGCAGATTACGAGTCGAACGCTCTAATCACCAGGACATACCAGA